TTCTCAGGCTGGCACCTCTCAGAACCATTCATTCATCGGCCAAGCACTCTCTCATACATTCATACAGTATTTTGTATAATAATAAAAGTTGTAGTTACAAAAATTTCTGGGTGGCATTGCTTAAAACATTCTCTGAGTGCTGAGTAAAGTTACAATGTTTTAAAGAGAACAGGCGTCAATTATGTAACAATGCCCTTAGTCAATTACAGGGCTTGGCTCCCATAGCAGAGTTAGTGGCTTGACAATGCATTGTTACAATGTATCTCTGCACAAGCCTGAGCATGCCCTGGGACATGGGGGCGGGGGATGGCGGGGCGCAGCTGTTTCTGGCTACATAGGATTATATTCTTAACAGTTCTAAGTTACATGACCTAATACATTATATTCTAAAGGGGCAATAATACTAATAAATCTAAACATTTAACAATCTTAACTAATAATAATAATAATAAGAAGAATTAATAATAAATCTAAACACTTTAAGTTGTGGGGAACGAATTATGGGGAGTCACTTCCATTTGGGGGAATCATTTTCAATACATTAATATGTTATCCCTACATACTCCCCCTTTTGACACTACGATATCTGGTATACTCGTAGTGTCACTTTCTATTTAATCTGTTTAAAAGAAGGTATCGTGAGGCAACATGTGTTTGTGATTGTAATGTAACAAATATTCTTTTTTTTATCCAGGCTCGGGGACATGGGAAGGGGAAGGTGCCGAGGGGAGGTGGGGCAGGGAGCAGGCTCTGGGGACATGGGAAGGGGAAGGTGCCGAGGGGAGGTGGGGCAGGGAGCAGGCTCTGGGGACATGGGAAGGGGAAGGTGCTGAGGGGATGTGGGGCAGGGAGGAGGCTCTGGGACATGGGAAGGGGAAGGTGCTGAGGGGAAGTGGGGCAGGGAGCAGGCTCTGGGGACATGGGAAGGGGAAGGTGCCGAGGGGAGGTGGGGCAGGGAGCAGGCTCTGGGACATGGGAAGGGGAAGGTGCCGAGGGGATGTGGGGCAGGGAGCAGGCTCTGGGGACATGGGAAGGGGAAGGTGCTGAGGGGATGTGGGGCAGGGAGGAGGCTCTGGGACATGGGAAGGGGAAGGTGCTGAGGGGAAGTGGGGCAGGGAGCAGGCTCTGGGGACATGGGAAGGGGAAGGTGCTGAGGGGAGGTGGGGCAGGGAGCAGGCTCTGGGGACATGGGAAGGGGAAGGTGCTGAGGGGATGTGGGGCAGGGAGCAGGCTCTGGGACATGGTATTTGAAGGAGGTGCTGGGATCTGAAGGGGACATGGGAAGGTGGCGCTCAGGGGATGTGAGGTATTGAGAGAAGGCTCTGGGATTTGAAGGAGATGTGAGGAGGTGCTATGGGGATGGGGGGCAGGAAGGGGTCTCTGAGGATTTGGATAGGTGCTGAGGGAATATGGGGTATTGGGAAGAGGCACTGGGATTTGAAGGGGACATTGGGAGGTGCTAAGAGGATGGGAAGGAGCAGGGAGCCCATTCTGGGGATTTGAAGAAGTGCTGATGGGATATGGTCTATTGGGAGGGGGCTCTGGGATTTGAAGGAGATGTGGGGAGGCACTTAGGGATGTCAGGGAATGACAGAGGTCTGTTAGTACATACCTCATATAGTTTCCAAAATTTGGACTAGACTAAATTTAAAGTGATCGGTGTCCTTTCCCAGAGCCAACCTCATCCTTAGGAAATGTTTCTTATTATTCAGCCTAAATTGTCAGGTGCTCAGTTTCATCCCAATTCTTAGATTCCTCCATTAACATCCCTAAATAGTTCTTCTCGCTCCTTGTTGGTTACCCCATTTGTACATGGTTATCCACTTTAGCCATTGTTATAATAAATCTTCTTAAGTCTTTCCGGTGTCCTAAATATTGTTGCCATTCCTTGAATTCCTGTCAAACTGTCTATATCTTTTTGGTGTTCATTTGCCTATAACTGTGTAAGTTCTGTTGTCTCAGCAATGCCACAATGGAGAGGACCTGTTGGCTCCCTGTTTTGTGATATGACATTCACTTGTTTAGATGTTTTATCACTGCCAGCCTATATATAATTCATTGTTTACGCTAATGATAGTGATCCCAATCCTATATCCACTTAGAGGTTATTGCAGGATTAGGGCCCACATTTGCCTATAACTGTGTAAGTTCTGTTGTCTCAGCAATGCCACAATGGAGAGGACCTGTTGGCTCCCTGTTTTGTGATATGACATTCACTTGTTTAGATGTTTTATCACTGCCAGCCTATATATAATTCATTGTTTACGCTAATGATAGTGATCCCAATCCTATATCCACTTAGAGGTTATTGCAGGATTAGGGCCCAAAT